ACCTAAATGAAATCATATAGTCCAAGACTATTGTTAATTTTAAAGGCAGATTTTTAGACACTGAAGAGTCATATAAGGGGGCTTTACCAGCATCCATCTTAATAAAACAGCAGAAAGAGCTTCTGGACAAAGGAGCTGTAAGTGTCCCAAGTATTTCTGTAAGTGTGTGTTTGTTCTTTTAATTGCTTTATGCTTCTCTTGTGAATAATTCTTCTCCTTCTGTTGCTGGTCCAAAACCACAGGCTCTGGAATACCAGTCAGTTCCTCCTCTGATCATGACCATTTGCCTCATGTTGCTTCAGTAGTTGCAAGACCATATTTTCAGTGTCTCTTAACCCAAAGGAAAAGTGTGTTGTAATACCATTGGAGCCCTGTTGACTAATCATGTGGCCCAGTCCAGTAGTCCTCAGCCCTTTTTGCTGTGCGTGCTGCAGAGGCTTTGTAACGGCCCCTTGGGAATACCTGGCTTCCTTTTCCAAGTGGGGGTTTAGGGGGAGAGGGGAGAAAGGAGTCTTGGTAGGGAGTGTGCCCAGTTGACTGCTTCCTGAAATCTTTACCTCTTGATTTTCTCTTTCTAGGGAACTTGAACTCACAGAATACAGACATTTAGGGCTGGAAGGGGTCTTAGTTGCCCCTGTATCTCATGAAGAAAAGTCTGTTTCTCCTAAGTAGCTGATTCTTGCCTCTAGAATTAAAGCTGTTTGCAAAACAGATACCCCTGCCTTTGGACCCTTGGGACTATTTATACTAATTTGGCTGGAGACTCTTCTTCTCCTCTCTCCCAGATTCGTGGGAGGTGTACTTTTCTTGCTTCTTCCTCCCACCCACCCCCAGTTATCTTTCTTCACTGTCAGCTTTATTTAGGGTACAGTTGTAGTATTTGGCTTAGCTGGATCAGATGAGAAACTTCCGTTTGCAGCTCTGTGGTCCTGGCTTTAAGAGAAAAGTTTGCCTCTGTTTGAATCTCTGTTAAGGAAATTTTTATTAAGCATGCTCATCTTGTTTATCCCTTGGATTAAAAACAAGGACCAGCTTTTAGATCGCTTTTAAAATATCATGATGGAGTAGAAGATCTCTGACTGCTCTGAGTAAAGGTTCTGATCAAACAAGCTTCTGTTTCTGTTTCCACTTAACTCTTCTCAGAGTGGAGCACGTCTCTGACTCCACTCAACCCGAATCACAAAGTGACCATGTAGCCTCCCAGGTTAATGGCAGAGAGACCGAGGAAGAGGTGGCAGACTTGCAGAGCAGGGTGGGGCCGGCCGGCTGTCTGCAGTCATCTCCTGCCAGGTGCTCATTTCCTCTGGTTAAAAAGGATTGCCTTCTCTCGAGCTGGCTTGAGCGTCTGCGGAGACCAGGACCTGGTACCGGAGGAATGATTAGACTCCCTTCAATGGTACAAAACCAGGTGGGCTAGAAACTACCTTTTTGACACAGCCATGTGTTCCCAGAAGGGAATCGCATTGCCCAGCTCTGTGTCTTCTTGAGCAGCCCGCACATTTCGGAGTTCGCCCATGAGCTGAGGGACGTCTCCCAGATGCATTCCTAAGTGACTAAGACTGCATTTTACAGTTCCCTAAAACGTCTGAGTTGGATGAGACTTCAGAGATCATCCAGTATTACGTGACTGCATGTAAACGAATTGAGGCTCCGATGGTGAGGGGGTTTGCCCTGGGCCACGCAGCTTGTTACAGTGCCAAGACTGATGATAATATGCGCTGCCATTTATGAAGCACTTATTATGTGCTTAGTACTCTGAGCTCTGTACATGAGTTCTCTCATTTGAGCATCCTCATTTATCAGTTGTAGAACGGGGTCCTTAAGAGGTTTAGTAACTCCCTGGGAAGTGGGGGAGCAGAGATTGTAGCCTAGGACTCTTAACCACGTTCCTGTACCTCCCTCGCCCTGGGGCTCAGGTCTCCTGATGGCTGCCTCAGTGCCGTGTCCACCTACTGCTCTGTCACATCAGAGCACCTGAGCCATCACTATGAGGTTGGCATTGGACAGATGGACAGCCAGGCCCCAGAGACAGCACGTGTCTTAGTCCAGGTAACACAGCAGATCAGCTCTTGTTGAGCATTAGGTTATCCATAATAAGGATGCCATTTTGTCATCAGCCCACAAACTCGTTTAATGGTTTTGGAGTTATCTCCAATTTCCCTCCAACCCTGAAGGTTTGGGAGATGTCACCAACTCTGTTGCTTAAAAATAGCTAAGGACTAGAACAGACTACCACATTTTACACAAATAACGCATGCCTTCAATGTTTGTTTGCCACCGTGCCCTCCTCCCGTGAGTTAAAAAAATTTGACATAGCGGGCTTACGAAAATACCTTGGGTTGGGGGGGGAACAGTTGGCAAGCAAATGTAGAAGACATGCATTATTTGTGTAAAAATACAGTATTCTCTCTGCAGAGTAAGTTAAAAGCCTGTGTTTTTTGTATACTTTTTGTTCACCTTCTGAAGGTTTTTAGAACAATGAGAACGTTAATGGGTAATTGCCATTATGGTTGATTAGTATAAAAAGGAAAGATGAAGAGATTATGCCAGTGTGTAAAACAGTGACAGAGACAGATCTGAGACTCGATATGCCTGTACCATTTTGTTATCAGCCTTTGGAACCCTTGTCTGATTTCGTTTGACAAAGCAGAAGGAGATCAGGGCTGATTGTGTACTGGATTGTCAACCAAGTGATTGTGGTGCATCCTGGGAAAATAAACCTGAATATCTAACTCCCCTAGTTATTCACCGACTCTTTTGCTAATCAGCCAGATCCCCTGTTCTCCCTCCTTCTGCTGGTATCATTCTTTATTTCTTATTCATCAAGTCTATGGGAAGGTTACTGTACCAGTAGCTAGACGTCCTGGATTCTAGTCTCAGCTCTGCCACTTTCTATTATTTAACCTCTCTGAGTGTCTCTTTCCTTGGGGACAGTAACAATATGGTAAAGGTGTATACCTATTTGGAGTCCCTGGGCAGCACAAATGGTTAAGTGCTCGGCTACTAACCAAAAGATTGGCAATTTGAACCTACCCAGAAGCACCTCAGAAGAAAGGCCTGGTGCTCTGCTTCCAAAAGGATACAGTCTTGAAAACCCTGTGGAGCGCAGTTGTACTCGACACACCTGGGGTTACCATCAGTTAGAATTGACTCAACAGCAACTCTTTTTTTTGTTTTTGTTGTTGGTTTACCTACTCATTTAACTTAGGCGAATTCAATGAGTGAATGCTTAGCAGTGCTGTCCCATTAGAACTTTCTGTGGTGATGGAAGTGTACCATGTGTGTGCTATCCAATACAGTAACTACTAGGCACAGTGACTGCTGAGCCCTTAAAATGTGGCTAGTGCAACTGAGGAACAGAATTCTTAATTCTATTTAATTTAAACTTAAATGGCCATCCATGGCTAGCGGCTACCATATTGGACAGTATAGTTTCAGAGTAAGTGTGAGATAGAAGACATGAATCTGCTGCTCCCCTGGTGAGTCTTGGTTTCCACATGCCTCTCATTTTACAGTGGTATTATAGTTTAAAGGTATGTGTTTCATATAAAACCTAGATTCTAATGGCAGCCCAGCTCTTTTCATCTGGTGCTCAGCCAAAAGAAGCAGTGATTGGTTCTGGCACTGAAGGTAAAATTGTCTGCATTAGACTGAGATGTTCTGACAATCTCACCATTGCAGGGCCTTCTTCAGATAGTTTCCAAGCTTGATTGTGACTACGTTTTGGCTTTATGAAATGAAACTAGAACCAAAACCCCCGTATAAAATGTAATTCTCTCCTAGGGTTCAGGGAAGTAATAGATAATGCTCTGATCGTCATCTCAGTACTAAGGGCCATTGCCCTCCAGTTGGAGCCCAGCAGTGGGAAAGAGTCCATCAGACTATATTTGATTAGTAACGAGTTAATGATGTGCTTTTCATGAACAACAAAATATGTAATAGTGATGACAGTATTAACATGCATTACATGCCTGTCATATATTAGGCCTTTTGCTAAGTGCCTGTGTAGAACCTCATTTGATTGTCATGACATCTCTGTGATGTAGGAATTATGAGTGTCCGCATTTTGCTAACAAGGAAACTGGGGAATAGAAAGGAGCCATTCCTTGCCCAGAGTCACTCAGCTAGTAAGCAGCAGAGCCAGGATTCAAACCCAAGAGTCTAATTCCAGAGCCCATAATTCTTAATAAACTCATGAAACCTTGGCCTTCACCCACCCAGTGGAAAGATCATTTGGGTGGGAGGAATGGGATCAGCTGGGTGGCCAGTGAAGCCTCCTCCTGTTTGTTTTAAAAAGCACTGTCCGAGGATCTTGCCAGTGACTGGAGCCGTCATTTATGTGGTACAGGAGCCAATAGCATTTCCTAGTGCAAACTACCTTTCATCTTTGTGGGTTCCACCTTCCTCACATGCCTGTGGTTACATTTCAGATGCAGAGCCACTGGCTTGTCCTGGCACAGGGATGTGGTCACTGTTCAGGGCTTGGCTCCTGAGGTCAGTCTGCAAACAGAACTGCTTCCTCCTTTGCCTATATGAAAATGCTGTGCGAAATGGGGTTTATCATGCTATCTTTCCAGAAGGAAGAGGCTTTTATTCCTCTTTTGTTTCTTGTTAATCAGGTAGAAATGTGTTAGAGGTACCCTCGTTGCTCAGAAATTGTCTGCCTCCTTTTCTGCCCCTTTCTTTGGTGGACAGCAGATTGCCCTGCAGTATAATTTGATTTTTTCCCTTGGAAAGAGAGAAGTCATGCGCTATATCAGGAAAAACTGAAAGCCAGGTGATTGGAGCCAGGAGATCTGGGCCCCTCTCCCAGTTCTGCTACTCCTTTGCAGTGACCCAGCTCATTCCACGATGGGGCTTTGTTTCCTCATCTGCTGAATGAGCGGATTGGTCTAGATCATGTCTCAGTTTTCTGAGAGCTCTTCGTTCTATATGATGCACAAATGCATCTTGTAGCTCTGGGCAGGCCTGGGCAAACATCATGTCCTCTCTCCCTGCAGGCATCTTGGCCATCCTCATCCCCCGCCTGGACCTGGTCATCTCCCTAGTGGGCTCCGTGAGCAGCAGCGCCCTGGCCCTCATCATCCCGCCCCTCCTGGAGATCACCACCTACTACTCAGAGGGCATGAGCCCCTTCACCATTGCCAAGGACGCCCTTATCAGCATCCTGGGCTTTGTGGGCTTCATCGCGGGCACTTACCAGGCCCTCTATGAGCTCATCCAGCCAAGCAATGCTCCCATTGTCATCAACTCCACCAGTGCCTTTGTATAGGATCTCGGTGCATCCTCTGCACTGGCCAACCCCACCCCTATGTGTCCCCCCAGTACCTGTTCTCAGAGCTTCAGGTAAGCTCCAGGCTCTGGGGAAGACCAGGTTGCTGCCTGGGAACCCTCTACTTAGAACCTGCTACGCTGGGCCAGGTAGGCTGAGGGCAGAGGAGGGTGTGGGTAGCTGATTCACAGGAGGTACCACAAGTGACAGTGCTGTCACTGTTCACTTTTACATGTTTTAACCCAGAACTTGTCAGCTCTTCATCATGCCTCTTCCCTTCCTACCAGCCTCCTCCCTTCTGACCCACTTCCCCCAAATCATTCCTGTCTAACTGCTCGCTATATTTAAAAATTTTAGTGTCCCCACCTCTTATTTTCTCCTCTTGGGCCGGGCTTGGATTATATAAGTAGGAACTCTCCCTCTTCATAAAGCCAGGTCTATTGCTTTCTTATCTCTCTCCCAAATATTTTACCTCAATATTCTCTTCCCAATTCACTCTCCAAGGTGGGGCTGGACCTACCTAGTAGTTTACTCCCCAATGCTGGAGTTTTTAATCTTAACTCTCTCTGGCTTGATGTGACCCTTAGGACAACACTTTCTCTTCTCACAGTCCTTCATTGTGGGTCACGATACTGTTATATTCTTAGCTGCTTTAGCTCTTAAAAGATAGAAAGTACTGCCTAAATTGAAAACATTTATATTTTATTTAAAATCAGCTTTGTGTTTTTAGACTCTGTCTCTACATCTGGGTTTATGATGAATTGTTTCTTCCTGAGTAATCTTACTCAGCCACTCCTGCTAAAAAGAAAATTACTCCAGGAAATGTTTGCTTAGATTCTCAGCACTCTTGGCTGGGTACCTCAAAGATCTGAATCAGGACTAACCTCAATGTGTACCTCTGTGGGGAGGCATGGATTTTGCCTCCCATTGACCAGCCTGAGAAGTATCGGAGCCTGAGAAATTATCGAAGGACTCAGGAAGTACTTGCAATGCACTAGGCCAAGGGACAGGATAGCCAGGTTGGATGTGTCTGTCACAGGAAGCTTAGAAAATGCCTGGTTTGTGTGTTCAGGCGTCTTCACAGCCTTAGCCTGTGACAAGAGAAAGGAATGGCTGCGTTCAGTTGCCGTCACCCCGAGAGGACACCCACTCTGTTGCCGTGGGTGAGCAGTTGGTTATTGCGTACAGAGAGTGAAGTCGAGCTCCTAGTGTGTGCAGCTGCTGGTCTGACGCTATGCGTGGTGCTTGGTTGTTTACAGTCACGGGTAGGGCAGCACCAGTTCCCCTCATGACGCTGCCTCCATGACCTGGACCTATAGGAACCACTTGGCTGGGACACCTGTTCCCTCCGTTCTAAACGCTAATTGTGATGCCTGTCCTTCCCCCCACTCCCACCCCCCACATGCCTCCCTGAGTGTCAGAAATGGATTCTGGGGTGGCTCACCTCAAGGTCACCACTCAGATTTGGGAACAAGCTTCAGAGAAAGCAGAAGTTGTCTTGCCTTGCTTTTGGCTGTCTCCTCTTCCCTCTTGGTGTGAGAAGTATTTCAGAAGGGCATTCATGAACTCGTCTCCTCAGCTGTGTGTGCGTGTCTGTCAGTCAGAGTGATTTCTTGTCTCGAACCCTGCTGTTCTCTACTCCTGTCTCTGGGCTCTCTCTTAACCTGGAGATACAATTCTCCCTGGAGGTCAGCTCATGGAGAGAAGTAAATTTATCAGGGTTCTGTTTTTGTCTTTGTGTTCCACCAAGTTCATAAGGGCCGTGACCCACCCTCGTGGCCTTGGCTGCTGCTTCCTCTTCTCTTCCAAAGCAGACAGAGCTGGCCCCCAGGGGAAGGGGTGGCAAAAGTGGACTCCCATGTGCACTGACTCTTCGCCTACCTAGTAATTTATTAAATTAGGAAGACTTGATCATCGGTAACTTGTTCTCACTTGGGAAAATGACACGTTTCACCCCCACCCTTTCTGCTCCCTGGTGGTCACTAGCAGGTGCTTACGTGACCACAGTTCTAGCTGGAGTGAGGAGAGGCTCTGCCCTCTGAAATCTCAGACTTAGATGTTACCAAAGTGGACTTGAAAATGGTGTCTCCTGTGGGCAAGCCTGGGCGCAGCAGCCCAGCTGTTCACCTGGCAGCCTCCCCAGAGCAGTCCTGAGCATTGTTACCAGTGGGAAGGTGTATGCCACTTGGAGGGGGCCAGACTGGTGCCCTGCCCCTGTGTGCTCAGGGAGCTGCTAGAGGCAGACCCGTCCAGGTGAGCTCTGAGATTGGGACTTTGATGCCGGGGCTTGAGGACTGGACAGCAGAACACCAAGGTCCTCTGGCTCCATCCAGCCCTTAGCAAAATGCAGGCTGTCACTTCAAGGTCTCTGGCCCAGAGAACATGGTGAATGAGGAAACCGACTCTAGCTTTGGGGCATCTGGGAGCTAACTTGGGATGGCCTGGGCCCTGTTTGACCTCTTTCCTATGTTGCTGCTGCTTTGATAACTCAGATGCTTGGCTACTTCAGAAGAGCCAGGCAAGGCTGCTCCAGGTGTGGACCTTCCTAGCTGGGCAGGTGCACAGCTCTTAGGCGTTGAGTAGAGGGTCAGCCAGAAGATGGCAGGGAAGGAGGCCCTTCCTCCTCTTCTGGACGCCACCCTCTGGGCCAGCTCAGGATCTCCTCTGCTGCCCGCTGGACCACTTCAGGTAGAGAGCCCTCCCTGGGTTCTTCCCATTGCTGCTTAGGACCCAGTTTCCCACCTTTCCCTGTGCCCTGGCTCTGGTTCCTGCTGAAAAACATAAGCAGCATGAGTCTGATCCAGGAGCAACAGAGCAAAGGAGTGTGAGACTGGATCTACTGGACCAAAGGCAAACCGTGGGTTTTCTGGCGGGATACTGTTACGCCCTGTGGCCCTCTCCTCCCCCTACTTCAGCCCCACATTCCCATTAGTCCACAGGTGGCTTCTCAGAGCCCCCTTGTTGGTTCTCTCTTCCAAACGCCACTACTGGGAGCAGGTTTCCAGCTCTCAGTTGGCAATGTACTTCCAACTTAATCTAGGAACTTGCCCGGAAGAGCATGGCCTGGCGTCTTCTGTCCGCCTGCTCAGGAGCTGTCCCCAGTCACAAGTGCCGTTATTTACATTGTGTGGCCTCTCACCTGCAGATGCGTGTCAGTGTGAACATGTCTTAGCTTCGAAGCTGCATCTCACCACCCTCTCCTGTGCCTCCACCTTCCCGGCCTCATTCACTGGCTGGTGCCCTTACGTGCTCTCTGCCCCCATGGAAGGGGAAGTTTGCAGCTTTATCACTAGTTTTAAAGTGTTGATCCTGAGCAGGTGCCCAGAAAAGCCATTTTCCCCTTTCCTCTTCTCTCTTACTTTTTTCTCTCCAAATTGCTTCCCTCCTAAGTTGTAGAATGTCACCTCTGTTTCACACGACATGTTCACCCATTGTCTCTGGAAGTACAGAGTCTTAATTTATGTTTGTTTACAGCTCTCTCTGCCCACTGCTCACAGCAAGGGGGTCTGTCTCAGTGGGTTTTGTTTAGAAGCTGGTCAGATGCCCCCAGCTGGAACACGATGCTGCTTCCTGGCCGTGGAGACACTAAGTAGGCATGGCAGGCCTTGGTGATTAGGGAGCTCTGCTCTAAGTCTGCCTTAGAATCTAATTTTCCAAATGTACATTACAGATCTCCAAAACCATTAGGGGAAAAAAGAAGGGGTGTGGCTTGCCTAGGAAGTCATGGTCAGTACTTTCAGATAATTAGGGCTGCTGTTTGCTAGGCTGTTTGCACAGCATCAGCCCATTATGTTTCTTCCCTATCATTTGTGCCACTGAGTCATTCCCTGGCCAGAGGACAGAAATGGTGCTGATATGATGTTACCAGACTAAGGGGATGGAAAGTAGGGGGTGGGGAGGGTGCCTGTTGTAAACCATGTTCTTTTGTTTAAATCAGGGTGATACTGGGGAACTGTTTTCTTTTAGTGGACGATAAAATCAGGTGTCTCTGTTGTAAAACATGTCAGTGAATTTGTGAATAGGACAAATAAGAAAAAGTACCATGCGGCAGGTCCTGGGAACCAGATAGTACTGTTTATGTTATGTGCCTGCATAGATGTATATTTCCAGCATGGTATGTGTAGAGATGTGGATTGATTGTGCAAGAGCTTGTAGAAGATCTCGTTTCGAGTTCTGCACACGGATCATGTGTTAAACTTTTCCTTTTCAATAAATGAACTTTGTTTTTTATTTTTGGGAGATGGTGGTCTGCGTCTTTGTTTTCACACCCTTCTTACATCACTCGGGTCCCTTTACTAGATGTTAGGTTGAAATGTTTCTAGCTTGCATCACCGAGCTCATACAAGGGAGGGGTGTGAACAATAGAACTGGCCCTGGAATGGAGAAGTACTCAAGGGAGGAACTAGGAATGCTTTTTTTTTTTCCTCTTGGATAATTCCACCCTCCCTAAGTCTCCTGCATCTCTGAAAACTTAAGAATTTTCAGCCCTCTCTATGTACAACAGTTGCCATAGGCTGAATGGTGGCCCCAAAAAAGATATGTCCATGTCCCAGAACCCATGATGTGACCTTATTTGGAAAAAGAGTCTTTGCAGATGTGATTAAGTTAAGGATCTCGAGATGAGACCATCCTGGATTATCTAGGTTGCCCCTAAATCCAGAAATAAGTATCCTTGTAAAGAGAAAGGCAGAGGGGGATTTGGAAGGGAGAAGAGGAGAAGGCCATGTGACAATGGAGGCGGGGATTAGAGTTATACAGACACCAGCCAAGGAACACCTGGAGCCACTACAAGCTAGAACAGACAAGGAAGGAGTCTCCCCTAGAGCTTCTGGAAGAAGCATGGCCCTCCTGACACGTTGATGTCAGACTTCTGGTCTCCAGAACTGAGATAATAAATCTCTGTGGTTTTAAGACACTAAAAAACCCCGTTGCTGTTGAGTGGGTTCCAACTCATAGCGACCCTATAGGACAGAGTAGAACTGCCCCATAGGGTTTTCAAGGAGCACCTGATGGATTCAAACTGCTGACCTTTTGGTTAGCAGCCATACTCTTAACCACTACATCACCAGGGCTTCCATAAAGACACAAAGTTTGTGGTAGTTGTTTTGGCAGCCCCTGGAAACTATACAGAAGGTAACACCCAACTTCACTGAAGTGGGAAGATTGGTTTCAGGAAGGACACATGACTCCTTCCCTTTTTGTCACATTTAAGAGGAAAAACAAGACTTCAGAGCAGTCCCTTAGATGATTTCGAAACTGACCTTTGTTAGCTACTGAATTAAACTTGTTTAAAAGCAAAGCCCTCAAGGAACACTGTTAAAGTTTAACACCTGTACAACACTTCCCCCAGGGAGGGAGGTGGGGTAGGTTTTATGACAATTTACATTCTTGATATTATTGGAACTGAGGATCAAAGGGATTAAGTGATGGGTCCAAGCAGCAGAATTGAGATCCACACATGAGCTTTCTGATTCCAGAATCCAAGCACTTCCGAAGACGCTGGCTGCCTCCTCTTTTTATAATAGCTTCATGAGGGATCCACCTTGAAGGATTACTGTGAAGTTAGAGAGAATGATATAAAGTGCTAATGTGAAGGGTTTATGAAACATTTTCTGAAATATTAGCTGAATTAAAGGCTCAGAGAGGGAAGTAGTTTTGCTTTTTTTTTTGGTTGTACATTCATTCATTAATAGTCATCTTGCTCATTTCCTTTGTGCAAAGCACTCAATCCTTTTTAGATTGTCCTCCTATTCAAGTTTTTGTTCTTGCTCACATCCGTAACTAATGGCTGTAATTCCCTCTTCCAGGTAAACAAGGCCCTGCAGGTAAGCCTACTTCCCTGTTAGAGGCATTAAATTTGAGTGACAGTCGGCTGAATTAAGACCCTGAGCCAGGGCTATCTGCTGGGTAGGCTGGCTTCCTCAGACTTAAGAGCCAGTACTGCACTGTATTGATTACTATAAAAAACCAAACCCGTTGTCGTCGAGTTGATTCTGATTCATAGCAACCTTATAGGATAAAGTAGAACTGCCCCATAAGGTGTCCAAGGAGCGGCTGGTGGACTTGAACTGCTGACCTTTTGGTTAACAGCTGCAGCACTTAACAACTGTGCCACCAGAGCTCCATAGTCACATAACCCGTTGCCGTCGAGTTGATTCCGATTCATAGCGACCCTATAGGACAGAATAG